GTTAATAATGGCGGGTGGTGGCGGTGGTGGTGGTTGTGATTGAAGAAGGTGATGGTAGGTGGTGATAGTTTATAATGGTGGGCGTTGCGATCTGTGATTATTGATTGTGATGAGGTGGTTGGTGGTGGTAGTTGATGTGGGTGAGTGTGTGATTATGGTTGAGGATGGCGGTGGTGGGTGGTGGTAGTGGTGGCGGCTATGGTTGAGGAAGGTGATGGTGGTGGTTTTAGTTGATAATGGTAGGCGGTAGTTAGTAATGAATGTGGATGATAGCATCTTAGTGGAATTAAGTCTTTATTATAGATCTTAATCATACAGACCTATGTGAAGTAAAAAAAAAACACTTAATGATTAACATCTGCAGGATTAAAACTCAGACCTTAAAAACAAACGCACTTAATATCTGAGATCTGGATAATTAAGATTCAAACCTCAATTAATTGCAAACAAATGAGGCCTAAGAGTATCTTTGGGCTATTTTAAACAACAATTGATAGCATAGCCAATGGTTTAGCGAAACGTGTATGGAGTGCGTAGTGTGGCTTGAGGACCCGACTTCCCGTCTATGTGCCGGCTTACTATCTTTACTCATAGCTTCAAAGACGCATTCATAACCTTTCCTCTAGGCTTTAGTGATCTTTAATACTCTAATAATGTGGGTGGCGCACAATTAATCTTCAATTAGCCCACAAATAGTAATGGATCATATAAAATTTAGTTCAAAGGGGAGATTATTTGGTGTGTGTGGAAAAAATCTCACATGAAAAGTAGAAAGAAGAAGAAGTTAGTATAAGAAGTGTATGTTCTTAATAGTGTGAGGTCTTTTAGAAAAATTATGCGGGCTTGCCCAAAGCCATTTTAGCCCAACAATTTATTCTTATGAAATATTTTTATGTAAGTTCAGAATTTACTTTTATATATAGTGAGTAAAGTTCAGTTACTTTCATACGATAAATAATATTTTAATTTTATACTATTACTAGTACAATAAATAAAATTACTTACTTTATTGTGACAAAATATAATCTTATTATACTAGTAGTAAATAAAGTTTAATAATCATACGTTAAATTAGTTCTTTAATTTACATATGTAACGTTGTTACTTGTTAATAGAAATTCTTTAAGTTATTCAGACGCATTCGAAAAATAGAATAGTAATATTTTTTACGAACTAAGTAAACTGTTGTCCCTAGTGAATCGAGAAATTTTATCTATTAAAATCAGTTAACTACCGTAAAAAGAAGAATTGAAAGCTTAGATCAGTAGTTGCGTTTTGCCTTGTACAGTGAAATTCTCTTTCTTTGATGTCATCTTGTCTTTATTATCTTCTTATTTTCTGTTAAATTTGTTTTCATAATATAATCGCCACGACATACGCATAATGCTAAATAGAAAGATCTATAGTATAAACAAAGTTATCAATTAATAGCCCTTTTTATATACAGTGGTGGTTGGAGAGTTATCACTATTGCTAGTCTCAGGTAGAAAAAGGAAAAAAGAAAGTGGCTTTTCTTTTCCTCTACTAAATTGTAGCTAATTTGATTGATATAACATGTCTTTTAGTGCACTGAAAAATTAAAATAAAAAAACGAAAAAGTATCTGTACGGCTTATCAATGCTGTCTTTAGCACATGCTTCAACTAATTAATGATTAACGGCCTATGGAAGTAAACCTATATTACCAGTAAAAGGCAGCCCGGTACACTAAGTTCCTGCTATGCGTGGGGTTCGGGGAAGGGTCAAACCACTAAGGGTCTATTGTATAGAGTCTTTACCCTGTATTTCTATAAGAAATTGTTTCCACCGCTTGAACCCGTGACCTCCTGGTCACATGACAGCAACTTTACCAGTTATGCCAAGGCACCCTTCCTCTATATTACCAGTAAGCAAATGAATTAGCAGTATTAAACTCAAAAGATAGTACAGTGAATTATTTAACTAAATAGAGAAAAAGCATATTGCTCCTTCAATATTTTTTTTTTGGTTTCCCACCCGGTGTCTGGTACCCGTATTGGAGCCCGATTATATACGGTGTCGTGCTGCGTTGGGCCCCATTAGGGAGGAAGCGCTCCCTACAATGGATTTTTCCGTACCCAGGGCTCGAATCCAAGACCTCTGGTTAAGAGAAGAGCAGTCCTGTCCGCTATACCTCATCCTTTGGTGGTATTGCTCCTTCGACACTGAACTTCATAAATATTGTACATTGAGCCCTAAGCCCTCGAATTACTCTGCCTTCCCTTATTTCAAAGTTAAAGTTTTCCTCACTTTCACAATGGGATGGACAAAATCTGCTCGAGGAAATTTATCTTTGCCAATAATCACAATCATTATATGTACAATAGGTTTCATTTCTCTCTTCTACATTGACAAAATCAGTACTTATCACTCTGTTCTCAGGTTCAAACCTTGTTCAAAATGCACCTTTACAAAGTCTAAGAATTCTCATACAGGTGAACCATCTGTTTTAATACTAGTAAATCAAAACTGCACTACTTCATATATTTTTTATCATCTTACATAAAAGCATTTTCTTGGCTTAATAGATGTAAAAAGATTGGAAAACAATCCTCTAAACGAGTATGATCGCTATGAATGCAATCACACTGACGGAAATTGGGTGTTCAATACTTCAATTAAGCCATTGTATACGGACAGGACTTGTTCATATATTGACAGGGAATATGCTTGTGTTAAGAATGGCCGAAACGATTCAGATTATCTATACTGGGAATGGCAGCCTGATGACTGTGTCTTGCCAAGGTTAGCAAGCTAAAATGAAATGTCAATTCCTATTCTGTATTTCTATTATGGAAATTTATGTGAAATTGGTTCTTGTTTTAATTTTTGATACGTGTTACAGATCGAATATAGGAGCCCAATTCGAAAGACTAGTCTATTAGGTGGGAAAATTCATCTATCCTATAAATTTACTAAACAATTTTCCTGTCATGATCGAGGACTTTGTTGATCATGACAGGCGCCAGGCCTGAACCCTTCTGGCCAAGTTGGTCAGGGGTGGTATAATTTTATTTTCTTTTTTGGGCCCAATTGGTCATGACTCTCACCCCACCTAGTCCAAGCCACACTCCTGGCATGTCGTCCCAATTGGTCACGGCTGGCACCCCTTACGGGTCCAGACCACCATTCGAGCACTCTACCAGAGTAGCAATTGGAGTTGTTGCCTGATCAACGTGCTCTGATATCAATTATTATAGACTGAACCAGAGAATCTAATCAAAAGAGTGGCTTATTATGCGGGAGAGCCCACTCAACCTATAAACTCATTACCAATTCGCTTGGCAACAATGAGATGCTCATTTGGTTCACAACATATCATGCATACTTATGACTAAAAAATCTCAATTATGAAATGAAAATCTTTCTTGCATTAACGTGAAATAATTAACGTGTACTTTCTTCTATGACTCGACCAGATTTGATCCTGAGGTTGCCCTCATAAAACTTCAAGGAAAGAGGCTAATGTTTGTAGGTGATTCACTACAGAAAAATCAATGGCAATCTTTTGTGTGCTTGGTGGAATCTATAATCCCAGAAGATCAGAAGTCGATGAAAAAAATAAGTCGTGGGCATTCTGTCTTTAAAGCCGAGGTAAATAGTAAATCGTACCGATCAACATAAACACCTTGCCTTTTTCAAGAATTCATTTATAACATACATATGAGTCCTAAGATCCAAAATAAGCAGCTTAATATATCCACTCATTTTTCAGGAATATAATGCCAGCATTGAGTTCTACTGGGCACCATTCCTGGTGGAATCTAACACTGATTTTCATATAAAATTCAATCCAAATCAGAAAATCGTTAAGGTGGACTCAATTACACAACGTGCCCAAAATTGGCTTGGCGTAGATATCCTTGTTTTCAATACTTATGTTTGGTGGATGGGCCGACTCAAGATCAACACACTGTAAGTTCGGTGAAAATTTATCCACACCTGATATTTATAAAACTATACAAGTTACTCATGGTTAAGTAATATACTGATGTATAAATTAGTATACAATAATTAACTATGATTAAGTTATAGAAGTGCATGTAAAATACTTGTTTATTCATTCATTTAGCTTAAACATTAGGTGTGGATAAATTTTTACCTTGTCAGTTCTTTATTAATCTCTCAGGTCCCTTAAATTAGTTATTAACTAAAAAAGTTCGGTCAAAAGTCATTTTAGACTACTAAGAAGTGTTTTTTCAATTCCAGCCTTACTAATCCAAGAAGGCATATAGTCACTAGTTACTCATTTAAGAAAGAAATAAGTATAATAAGTTAAAAATACGCCTTAATGATTAGTGCTAATTACTATTTTTGATTAAAATACAGATGGGGCGAATTTCAAAATGGAGAAGAAGGCTATGAAGAATTAGACACACCAGTTTCTTACAGACTAGCTTTGAGGACTTGGGCAAATTGGATTGATTCCACAATTGATTCCAATAAAACTCAGATTTTTTTCACCACTATGTCTCCTAGCCACGAAAGGTAATTAAGTTCTTTTTCTCTCTCATTAAAAAATCTCGTTGAAGGGAGCTTTGGAGTAACAGTAAAGTTGTCCGTATGACCTATAGGTCACGGGTTCAAGCCGTGGAAACAGCCATTAATGCTTGCATTAGGTAGGCTGTCTATATCGCAATTCTTTGAGGTTCGGTCCTTTCCTGAACCCTATGTGAATACAGGATGCTTTGTGCACTGAGCTGTTTTTTTTTTTTTTTTTTAATAATAACCTCTTTCATTTTGGTGGAACTTAAACTAACACCACTTTAACAAACGTATATATATTAATTCAGAAATAAAGATTGGGGCAACATAAATGGGATCATGTGCTACAATGAGACAAGACCAGTAATGAAGAGAGGCCACTGGGGATTTGGTTCAAACAAAGAGATGATGAAAGTAGTGGCAAGTGTGATCAAAAGGATGAGAGTTCATGTTACTGTCCTTAATATTACACAATTATCTGAGTACAGAATTGATGCGCATTCATCAATTTATGGTGAATCATATGGCAAATTGTTGACTGATGAGCAGAAAGCTGACCCTTTGCATTTTGCGGATTGTATACATTGGTGCTTGCCCGGAGTTCCTGACACTTGGAATCGATTACTTTATGCATATCTATAGAAAAAGAATAAATTATCATATTACAGTCAAACCTCTATATTACAGCTTTGTTTGTACCAAACATTTTCTAAATGTTATAATTAAATGTTGCTATAAAAGATAATTGTTACAGAGAAGTTTGACTGTATATGATTGATAGAGCTGTCAATATGGGCCGGGCCGGGCTAGCCCAGCCCAGCCAACGTGGGCTTTAGCAATTGACGGGCTGGGCTGGGCTAGCCCACCATTTTGATGGACTTATAACGATCAGCCCACCCTATTCTTATGAGGGCCACGGGCCGGCCCATCATTTTTTAAAATATAATTTTATATTTTTTCTTGAAGTTCTAAACTAAAAAAAGATAAATATGTTAAAAAAAATTATTGAAAAAATTTCACAAAACTTAATAATTTTTTATACGGTTCTAATATATCACAATAAACACTAAAAACGTAAACTAAAAGACTATATTTCATTCTCTAAAAGTCAAAACTCAGAACAAATTAGACCATGACGCTTATGGGATATCTAACACAACATCTTCATCAAACAAATTTGAATCCGCTTGTGAGAAGGTTGTCTTAACATCTTCACTTTCTTCTACATCTACAATTCGTATGCAACATTAATTAGATAAATATTAAGAATAATTAAATTTTTAAAACTACTTAACGTTTTAAGACTTTAATCTTTTAATATGATGAGCTTAATAAACTTTAAGCTTGGGATACTCTTCTTGTTATTTTTTGTGTCATATACTTTTTATATTTTATATGTTTTACATACGTATTTTTATTGGGGTTTTGACACAGTTACCCACAAAAATAAAACTATTTACCCTTGTCTACCCATTTATTTTTCTACCCATAAACTAATTACATTTCCTACCCATAGTAGTTTTTGTGGGGAATTTTTTCTTTATTCTCCAATTCTTTTTTATTTCTATGCTTCTTTTCTTCGTCTTTTTCTTTTTTTTCTTCTTTTTTCCTTTTCTAATTTAATTTAACTTCTTTTTTTATATTCTTTTTCTCTTTATAATATAATTTCATTTACCGTTTTCACTATTTTTTATTATTTTTTTTTATACAATAAGAAAAGATAATTGATATAGTAAATATTTGTTCACCTTTTTTTATAATAACTAGTACAATATGCCTTTTATTTTTTTCTCATTTTTTAAATTCAATTATTAAACTGAAACAATATCAGTTGTCACTTGATCTAATTCACCAAATATCACATTGACTGTTGTTGAGCACCATAAATTACATAATTAGATTCTAAGAATCAACACGTGATTGCCATGCAAACCTTGATCTCCTTCCCTATAAATATCAGTACACACTCTACCATTAGCAGTAATACAACCAGTTATAGAGCAAGAAAACATAATCTACGGCAACTAAATCTTCATATATACTAGTTAGAATAAAAATGATAATAAAATATTAAAAAATGCAACAAAAGTATAAGTAGCAAAAAAGACTTCTGGTACCATGTGATACCAATATGGTATATATGTATACCAACAGAGCATATGATTTCTCTAGAATATTGCTACAACTATATGCGACTATACTACTGTACCAAAATATTAAAGGACGCAATAAAAGTATGAGAAAATTACATGCTCGTATTGCAAGCTAAATATTCGCAAAACAACTTGCTCATATCGTATACTAAGAGGGTATATAGTTGTATGGGGTCGCTCCAACAATTGCCTATAACTATAAAAATTATTACATAATACACATAATTTATGTCCATCGGCACACAAAAATTCCAGCATTGCAACTCATGTTGATATAAATAATTTCATAATAGAATTCACTTAAAATGTAGCTAAAATAGCCAAAACAATGTTCAAACTACCATATGATACCAATATGGCATCTAATTATACCAACATAGTATACAGTTTTACTAGTTAATTCCCGGCAGCTATATGACTATACTACTATTACATAACACGCATGCATAAAGAGAAAAATAAAAAAAAAATAGTGTACCACACATTAATATAATAAGGTATTTCAAGATATTGTACTATATTACTATTATTAAAAGAAAATCAAATATTGTACCAATTAAATGCAGCTAATACAACCAAAAAATGATTCAACTAGCATATGATACCAATATAGTATATAGTTATACTAATAGGGTATATAGTTGGAATGAATTGTATACTAAATTGGTATATTTGTATACTATTTGGGTATACAATACAAATTCGTCTTCTTCTCTGGTTCAACTATATTTCAACCCAAATTTCTAAAATTTACTACAAAATCTCCACCAAATTGACTAAAACTTTATCGACAACCTCCAATCAACTTTCCAAACTAACCCATACAGGATCAGATCAAAACAATTAAAAACTCAAACAAACCAAGTTATGAGTTTCAAGCTTCAAGGTCCTTCAATCGTGGATTTAAATTTTTGTACAATAAATCTCCAAAAACACTATAAAAAATCATATCTGGCATTTTGAACTCATTCATATGGAGTTTCAAAAATTGATCTGTTCTTCCTATGATCTACCATTTGGTTCCTCGAACACACAAAACACAGTTAGACAAATACTATCATTTGGGGGTTCTCGAACTATTTAGTGAGAAATTCCAGATAGGTGATATTATTATCAGTAGATATTACTATATTAGAAAAAAATACAGAAGCGAGACTGTAGTTTCAGTGATTCAACCTCAATTCGAGAAAGCAGTCATGAGGAGAGAACATTGTCATTTCATTTAGTTACGTAAAAAATTCAAAAGGGTGAAGGAGACAAGAATATGCTCGATTGTGTTTTCTTTTCTTTTCCTTTTTTAAATGGTAAAAGTTTATTCGATTGCTTTCAGAAAAGTTGCCATTCAAATCTCAAGCAGGTCATAGATGTCTACTGGAAGAGTTTATACTAAGTTAATAACCGGGTAAATAGTTTGGGGCACATGGGTAGGAGTAGTAAATAGTTTGGGCCTGGGCATTAAAGGGTAAATAGTTTGAAATTGATGGGTATAAAGTGAGATTTTCTCATTTTTATTAAGCCCACGGGCCGGCCCAGCCCAGCCACAATCAAGCCTCACGGGCCACGGGCTTACTCGGGCCGGGCTTAAAAACCTCGTTTTTAAATGGGCTTAAAAAATTCTAGCACATTCCTGCTAAATCACGGGGTGAGCTGGGCTGGCCCAACGGACCAAGCCCATATTGACGACTCTAATGGTTGAACTGTTGTACGAGTGTTGAATAAAAATGGTAAAGCAAAATGCCATTACCATATGTGAATTGTAAATTATAAGTTCTTACATAATCAACTTTACTGAAGCAATAGTTAACAAACCAAACTGATCATAGCAACAAATGATCCTCTATTTACTCACATCTGGTTTTACCTACAACTTTTTCCTTTTTTTTTCATTCATTTATTTATTACTATTCAATACCACCATATGATCTTGAGATAACAGGAATTGGAACTTGACAAAAAAAATAATAGATGAGGTAAAAATACAAATTAATTAACCATAGTTATTAGGTAATAATAGAGTATGCATAAAATGCATGTCTATTACTATTCGTTTGGAATAAATATCGGATGTGGATAAATTTTACAAAAATGACTAAGGCTCGTTCTATTACACAAAATAAAAGTAGGGGTTAATTACACAAAAGGTCACTTCAATATACGATATTACTGTAAAAAAATAATCAAACTAAAAATATGAATTTTTCATTGTCCTATGGTAAAGTTACCAATTCACCCATTTTCTTCGATTGTCTTTCTTGGGAGGTTATGCAAGGTAATACATTGTACGTGAAACCTTAACAAAAATGCAATGAGCTTTTACCAAATAAATTAATGTAATTTTGTTAAAAATTCTCGTATATAATGATGGATTGTTATAAATATATTATATTATGGATGTATATTTAGTACTCCAATGTAAATAAGCTTCCTGAATAAGCTTATCCATATGGGACTTCGCTGTAAATATGTTTATCTATTTAGTACACTATTGAAAATAAACATCCTCAAGAAGCTTATCATTTCGGTACTCCGTTATGGATAAATATTATCCGGTAGAAGATTATTTATATCTAGTACAATAACAACTTACAAGTAGCTTATACAGCAGCTTGCGGTAGCAGCTTACACAACAGCTTCCTTTCTTCTATAAATAGAGGAGATTTCAGTTCATTATATACATCAGTTTGAAGTTGAATAATATATCAATTTCTCTCTATACTTGTCTTTACTTTACGGTCTTTATTTTATAACACGTTATCAGCACGAGACTCTGCCATCTCTAGCAAATACTTTGAAAGTATCAGAGGTACGAACTTTGTTTTTCTAAATAATGTCAAATCTTTCTAAACTTGAATTTGTAGCCCTGGATATATCGGGCAAAAGCTACATGTATTGGGTGCTTGATGCTGAAATTCATCTTGATGCGATGGGTCTGGCAGACACCATCAAGGACAAAAATCAAGCATAAAGCAATGATATTCCTACACCATCACCTTGATGAAGCCTTGAAAATGAAGATCTCACTGTTAAAGATCCAATCATACTGTGAAATATTTTGAAAGATAGATATGACCACTTGAAGATGGTCGTTCTTCCACAGTCACGTTATGATTGGACTCATCTAAGGCTACAAGATTTAAATCTATCAGTGAGTATAATTCTGCTATGTTCAGAATTATATCCCAATTGAGATTATGTGGTGATAATATTACTGATCATGATATCTTGGAGAAAACTTTCACAATTTTTCATGCCTCGAATATGCTCCTGCAGCAGCAATATCGAGAGATGGGATTCAAAAAGTATTCTAAAATTATCTCACATCTTCTTATAGTCGAGCAACATAATGGGCTATTAATAAAAGATCTTGAAAGCCGATCTACTGCTTCTTGTTTATTCCCTGAAGTGGATGAGACGAACTTCCACCAAGCTAAGCGTGGAAGAGGTCGTGGCCCCGGTCGTGGTCATGGTCGTGGTCAAGGAAAAAGCTCTAATCATAGTAATAATAATGCAGCAAAGAACCCTCCTCACCACCAACAGTGAAAAAGGAAGGAACAAAAGCATGAAGCGGTGCAAGCAACAAATGCAGAAAATG